ATATATTCATATATAATTAGAAAAAAACTGTCCACCTCAGTTTAATTAACATCAGGGCTCAGTGATATTATAAGAAAAAACTGTGCACCTCAGTACCTCAGTTTAGTTCACGTCAGGACTCATTTAAAGTATGTTTTGGTTCACTGTGTCATTTTGTGGATTTTCTCCAAGGACTTTGGTTTCCATGCACAACCTAAACATATATTGATAGGTTGCTTGACTTCTGACCATGTTGGCCTTCGTGTATGTGTGTATTTGTGTGGCTGTGATAGGGATATTAGATTGCCAGCACAATTGGGGTAATGACAGATGTGATTGGTTCAATATACTATTTAAACAGAGTCTCTAGAACAAAATAAAAAAAACTGCAGTAGCTTTGAAAACCCTACAGCGAAATGCTACAAGGAAAAGCTACAACACTTCCCGGTGGTGTCAGAGCTTGTTGCTTCCGTTACATTTCTATTGGCTTACCTAGGCTATCTATTTTAGGCTTTCGTACTAGCCAATAGGAATGTGCAGGAGTCAGGAAGAGAAACTGAGGTTTTGTATTTTCAGGAATATCAGAGCGTTACCTGTCAGAATTGCCTGGTATTCCCCTGTATCTGCAGGGTTTCTGAGACTTCTACAGGTACAGTACACCTCCAGATGCCTGAAGTTTATACTTTTTGTTTTTGTTTTGTTCTAGTTTTGATAAAGCTCCGTGTCAAAATGTATGTAAATCCAAAATGTTTTGTCTAGTTTTGGATAGAGTGGGTAAGGTTTAAAACTAAGGATGCACCGATACCAGTTTTTCGTTATCGAGCGCGAGTATCGATATTTTGCTTTTGGTACTCGCCGATACTGAGGACTAATACAGATGCTTCCGCTGGCATGGAGCCGGCTTCCCGGGCAATAAGGAAGCCGGGCGGCAGGTAATGACATGCCACCTGGCTTCCTGATCGCCCAGGAAGTTGGCTCCATGTTGTTCGGCTGGCTTGATTGTGATTGGCCGGGAAACCGGTGTTCCCAGCCAATCAGCATCGAGCCAGCTTCCCAGCCAATCACAATCGAGCTGGCCAAACAACATGGAGCCAGCTTCCCAGCCAATCAAGATCGAGCCGGGTCTCCCGGTCACTCAGGAAACCGGGAGGCGGGTCATTACTCACCACCCGGCTTCCTGTTGTCCCGGGAAGTTGGCTCCATCTTCCTCTGACCGGAAGTTCCAGTATTGGGGGCGGTATCAGAGCAGTTGGGCGAGTACGAGTACTCACCCAAATACTTGGTATTGGCACTGTTACCAATACTAGTATCGATATCGTTGCTTCCCTATTTAAAACTTATGAGAGCGTTTTACTGCTATCTGGGGCTCCTTCCTGTCCTGCTGACCATGTTATACTAAACAGGAGGTGAGGGTAAATCTGCAAGACTCACACAGACACAAAATTAAAATCAGACAGGACTGCTTACAATCAGCCTAAGGGCTAAATTTTAAACATATGACAGATTCCTCCATCCACGCTAAACAGTATGGATGCAGGAATCTCCTGCTGTGTACATTGTATTCTGACAACGGTACTGGTCACTGCTACGTCGGACGAAATTTGCTCCATGTGTATTCAGCTTTGTACTATGTACTAGTACTAAGTACTATGCCAAAAATAAAAGCATTTCTGTTTATTTCTGTGTTGCTGTTTGTTAGTTCCCAGATTTGAGGGGAAATCTCTCTAACAGAACACTGAATAGCAATGAAAGTGACAAGGGAGCATGGAGATGGTTTCCTGGCCAATCAGGAAGCCGGCGGTGTGTAATGACTTGCTACCGGCTTCCTGATACAGGAGGTTTCCGGTATTGGAATAAGCATCGGGAGCATTTGGCCGAGTACTCACCCAAATACTTGGTATTGGCACCGATACCGATACTAGTATCGGTATCGGTGCATCCCTAGTCACAACCATTCCTTACTCTATCCAAAACTAATATTTATACCTTTACACACACTTTAACTTTTGTTCTATGATACTGTACAGATTGATAAATATTGAATTAAAATGTTTAATATACTCTTGATTAAAAGGGGGATTTATGAAAAGTGGAGCAGATAGAATCTGGGGCAGTTGCCCATGGCAACCAATCAGTATCTCTTTTCAGTTTGACAAAGAAGCTAATTGGTTGCAGTGCAAATCTGCTCCAGATTTTGTCTGCTCCAGTTTTGATCAATTCCCTTCAATGCATTTGTCAAGTTCTCGGAATACTAGAAGTGAGGAAGACGGATAGAATTCTTCTTACTAAGACTAGTATCTGATGGTCTATTTATATCTGAAAAATGTTATGATCTAAATCAGCATTTCTCAACCTTTTTTTTTAGTCAACCCTTTAACTGTATGCAAAATCTTGAGTCACCCCAGTCTAAAATGTCAGAATCCACTTCACATCGGTCTCTATTCCCCCCTTTACATCACAGTCCCAATTCCACAAAATTTTGAGGCACCCCTGAGGAATCCAGAATGTACATCAGGGTGCCACGGCACCCTGAATGAGAAGGGCTGATCTAAATCATCTAGGAGTTTGTTATTTTTCAGGGAAATGTATTATGAATGTGTACTAATTTTTTACATTTTTTTAATAGGACACAAGCCTTCAATCCTTAACAACATACATATGGTTTTTAATGGTAAGATCCTGGGGATTATTTAGTGCATGTTTTGAAGGTTTGTAAAGATTTAGTTATTATGGGAGATTATATTTTCTATTTCAGTGATATTACTGCCAGGCTGTTTCTTGTTTTAACACAGATTTCTTTCTTAAAGGGTAATTCCACCTTTGCAGAGGCGTAACTAGAACCTTCAGGACCCCGATGCAAGAAACTATGAAGGACCCCCCCAACCCCCCGCCGACATGGCACTGTGTGGTTAACAGGAAGGCTGCCGAGGTCCCCAGCAAGAGCAGCACCTCAGGCAGCCGCTTCAGTTTAAAAATGTAGTGCCGGTGTTCTGTAGAGAACACCGAACCAGTATCTGCGTTTGCGCACAGGATGCGTTTGCGGGATTAACAAAGTATCCGGCATATATTTACAAAGTATTAGTTTGTAATTGTTAATTGTGACCGTTAATAATATGCTGTCCATGGCAGTAAATCATGGATGACTGTAAATGATGGATGGAATATTATTAACGGTCACAATTAACGATTTAAACTATATACTTTGTGAATAAATTCCTGTTTCCTCACTAATACTGGTCTGTGCCCAAGTGCAGATGCTGAGGTCGGCAAATTCGATTACGTCTGCGTTCACGACAGAACACCGGTATTTGGGCATTTTCACGAGTATGAGTACCCGTGAAAATGCCTAGTATTGGCACTGACTGGTGCATCCCTACTTAAAAATATAATGCATTGCTGGGACTTGTAGTCCTGCATAGTTGGTGCTATTCTGCATTGCTGTATAATGATTATACAGCAATGCAGAATACCACCAGGTATGCAGGACTACAAGTCCCAGCAATGCATTATAATAAAAATCAGCAAAGCAGAATACCACCAGCATCCCCCCCCCACCTTCCCTGCGACCCCCCCTTCCCAGTCCAGACTTACCTGAACCACATGCAGGACCCTCTTCCACCTCTTCCTGCAGTGCCTGCAGCACATTCTGCTGGGCTAGTAACAGCCTCTCCAGCCCCGCCGCACAGCTGCCCGTACATGCTGCGGGTGGCAGAGCGGCAGGGAAGGAGTGACACTATCTCGGGGTGGGGGGGCCCTCTTCTTCCTCTCTGGGTCCCCCCCTCAACAGGTGGAACGCCAGGGCCCGGTCGCAATTGTGACCGCTGCGACCCTGGCAGTTCCCCCAGTGCACCTTTGTTGAGAAACAAATCAGCCCCCCCGGGTGATCTGTGTACATTACAAGGATTTTAACAAACCTTGGCTCCATTCACACCTAGCATATTTGACATGCTTTTTCTGACCTAAAGAATGCTATAAAAAAAACATCCAAAACAAAATCCCATTCATTTCTATTGCCATTTACATCTGAGTGTTTTGTCGCTTGAAGCAAAATGCCTGTTGTTGGGAAAAAAATAGCTTTTTTGGAGCAGATTAAATGCTTCTTTGCCCCATATACTTCAATGGCGCTTGTTTACAGTGCTGGCCTGCACATCTCAAAGTGGTAACCCACACATCTCACAGTGCTTCCGCTGGCCCGGACAGCTCCCCTGCTGAGACCCTACGCATGTGCTCCTGCTGAGATCCTCCGCATGTGCTCCTGCTAAGACCCTTCACATGTGCGCCTGGTGAGACCCTCTGCCCAGGACAGCACAGAGTATGTAGAAAATTCATATACTATTTTTCTGCATTGCTATATAATGTATTGCTGGCATTTGTAGCCCTTTATAGCCGATAGTATTATGCTGCATTGCTGTATAATGTTTTGCTGGGATTTGTAGCCCTCTATGGTCGGTGCCATTCTGCATTGCTGTATAATGTATTGCTTATATTTGTATTAATCTATAGCTGGTGGTATTCTGCATTGCTGCATAATGTTATGCTGAGATTGCTAGTCCCTCTACAGCTTGGAGTCAGTGGTAGAACTATCAGTGTCACAGAAGTTGCAGCTGCGAAAAAATCTTGCACCGGGGCCCTTTGTTTCTTAGCTTCTAGCTGAAAATGGTGAAATACTGAATTATTTCAAGCTACAGTTTTATTGTACTATGAAAAGGGATGTAAAATTTTAGCAACTAAGCTAAATTATTTCTTAGGGTTAATCGAACATCATGAACAGGTCAGCTTTGTTCCCTGTTATCAAGCCAGTGACATTATTTGTTAAGTCATTCATTGAAATAGTTAATCAAGAAAACTTTGCAGGCTATAAAGTTTATTTCACACAGTCATAAAGACCCTTGGGTAGCAGTAGTTTGCTTGATTCCAGGATAGTAACTTAAATGACAGTCTGAACTTCAAAACTGTGTTTCAAGGTTTTTTTCAATATTTTAATATAACATCCTAAATGCTCTCAGAGTTTTATTAACAGAAAACCCCTCACTTTAGGAATGGAAAAATGAGTTTTTAACCTGGGAACCCAATGACTTTTGCGGCATTAAAAACGTTTCAATTACTGGCACTGACCTTTGGAGGCCAGATCTCTACATTTATGAAATGTAAGTATACATTATGTACCATGAGGTTTTCTGTAGTCTGTATGATTAATGAGGCTGATTTACTAAAGGAGTTGGGAATCTTCACATAATAAACTGCATCAATATTCTCTTCAATTATCCAATCATGTAAAAAAACGATTTCCGGTTTCTTTATTTCACGTGCACATGATTGGATAATTGAAGTGAATATCTACACAATTTATTGTATTAAGATTGCCAACTGCTTTGTTTTTTGTCTGGAATTAGCATATTAATATGATAATGTGAATGTGTTGTACTTTCTCTGTATGACAAAACAATAGGACAAAACAAACGTAAAAAGTATTAAGCCACTGACCTCAGTCAAAATTTCCTTGAAAAAAAAAGATCTAAAGTTTTGCTTTAGAGGTTCTTTTTTTTTTGGGGGGGGGACGGTGTTGGGGGAGGGGTTTATTTAGGGTAGTTTTATTTTATTTGCACTCTTTCCATTTGTGTTTTTTTGTGTATCTGCATTTGGTTTTTATTTGTGGACTGCAGCCTTATATTTTTTATTTTACTGTTTTTACCGCTGTCCATTTTTTCCTTTTGATAAAAAATTAAACAATGAGGCTGATGAGGGTTGTGTTTTGCACAAGAACAGGTCCAGGGTTGTTGAGGAGTTTTTGTAACATTCAGGAGCAAATGAAAGTCCATGTCAGAGCTTGTTCATTATTTGTTCTTAATTTATATTCTATTCTAATTAATACTTGATCTGTTATTGTTTTTTTTTTTTAATTTGAATTACTTAATAATATACGCCACAACCTTTCCATTAAACTTGTTCTTGGTGTTGTATATTAATTGAGCCATGTTGTGTTTTTATTGCATTTGGTACCAATGTAGGCAACTGGTATATTGGTTTGGTATGAACATAGACTTTATCGAAACAAAATGAGTTGTTATTGTGTCATAAATAAGAAATAATTTTTATTCCATGTAAACAAATATTTGCTGACGTTCTTCTAAGGGTTCATTCACACTGTGTGTGAATGAGCGTTTGGAACAGGAACCTACAAATTCATTCAGCAGGAATCCCATATATGTCGTTTAGAAGTGGCCTGTGCCACCCATTCAACTTAATGATCGGGTAACAGCAGCCGCATTTGAAAGCTGCACTCTGCATGTAATCCCATAGGATACGATTACATGCTGTTAAGAATAGACCACTTCCCTTGGACGCTTTATAGATGTGTCAAAAGATAGTGATCTATTCCTAAACGCATGTAATCATATCACATGCGATTACTTGTGGCATGCTTCTTACAGATGTGGCCGCTGTCAACTGATCATTAACTTGAACAGGTGACAGCAGCAACTTCTAAGTATTTGGGATTTCTGCTGAAGGAATTCGTAGGTTTTTGCAGCGGAAATCCCAAAACACACATTTACTCATAGTGTGAATGTAGCCTAAAATGTAATATCTTCATAGTTTGAGCTATTATTTTCTGAACCCCAGAAATGCCTGGTGGGGTTGATTGTTGCATAAGACGTAGCAAGTAAAGGTGCGCAGATATTTTGTCTCTGATATTAAACAATACAAATTCATAATGGTGTTTTCTTACATTTCCTTTATTAATTAGGACAGAGGGAGATAATAACTCTCCGGTGATCCCATACTTTATTGTCTTTAGCAATGGTGAAATAAGCAACTCAAAACCATCACGGATTGTCAGTACCTGTAATCTGGATGTTTATAAATTCCCATTTGACACACAGACATGCTATTTAACTTTTGGACCCTATGTACACTCCGGTAAGTCAAATACTTTTGGAAAATCACTTTCGGTAAATCATCTTTATCCATTTTAATGTATATTGTACTTGTGGGGTAAGCAGGATCATGAGGATGAGTAGCACAATGGAAACCATCCTGTGTCAGGCTAAATTGTTCCTAGGGATTCCAATGCATTTCCCGTTCAGCTAAAAGATGAAATCCTTCAACAATATTCAAAGTTGGCTTTAGGGCCCCTACTGAGTTTATGTACATGGAACAGCTCTAGATAATTCTCCCAGGAAGCAGCCTTTTTAAATGGCATACTATCTTGGGTGCTCTGTCTCCTTCCAGATAGATGTAGTAATGCTTCTAGGACCTAAATGATTAAAAAACTTTGAAGCCGTTCATTAACAGCTAATGTCATGGATGCTATGGTTGCTTTTCTATTATTGTATAGACAGGCACGTTTAAAATGTGTTTCAGCAAACAGTTAAAAGTTAAAGTCATACCATTTAATGTCCACTGGCAGAACTCCAGGTAAAAAGGGTCATAAATAAAAAATAAATAGGCCAGTAAGAATACAAAAAAAACCTATGAAAAGTCTTTTTATTTTAGGCAGTCTGAATGATTGGTTTTCTCTGATAACATTAATTGACTTAATGATCTATTTCATTTCTTTATAGCTGCCAGATTAAAGTCTTATATAGCCAATTTAAAAGAGAAGTAAACCCAAATCTTTTTAACTATTTTTTTTTGGCTTTACTTGTATTTTGTCACTTTTTCTAATGTACTCCTTTGATTCAAAGTAAGTTGATAGCTTGCTATAGCTCACTATCTGCTGACAGTCCAGAGCCACACTACAGCTTGGGATGATCCCAACAATATTGTCTGGGATGTCTAAGTTGCCTGAATGCCTAAGTGACAGCTGGCTCTGCCTCTCTGTTTGGGGCTGAGAGCCAGAGCAAGCCATGCCCACCCCTTGCCTGTAGCTCCAGTGATCACTGGAAAAGCAAAGCGGGACCTTTGAGGAGCAGTCACTGCCCTCCTCTGGGAGCAGACACAGAGAGCTGACTGATCAGTGGCCATGTAATTGCTAAGTTCTCTGTGTTCTGTGTGTCCCATGTTGGACAGGGTCTGTGGGTAGGGTGGGTGGGTAGGGTCTGTTTTTCCCTTTCCTTGTACTTCTCCTTTAAATGAGAATTATGAGGTGAGTGCTTTTCACTCAGCCTCATAATCTCAGCCGACCTGTGACAATGAAACTGTCACAGGTCGGTTCAGTAGATCGGGAAGTGAGCGAGACACATATCGGCACTCGCTCACTTCTCGATCCTGTCACTGCAGAGAGCCGTGATAGGGGAGTGACTGGATTCTCCCCTCCCCTGTCCGATCCTCCAGCGCTGACTGGAGGAACGGATGGGGAAGGGGGCGGGTACAGCTGGCTTTGCCTCTAGATAGGCAGAGCCAGCTGTCACTCACGCAACTGGGCGGATCCAGACATAATTGTCGGGTTCCGCTTCAGCTGCGGCGTCTCAGTATACCGCGAGCCACAGCTGGGAGTATACTGAGCTTTGGGTAACAGGAGGACGCTAGTTTGTGTCCTCCCGTTACCCTTCGGAGAACTATGGGGAAAAGCCCTAACCCCATAGTTCTCTTTTAAGCATCACCATCAGGGAAGTAGAGGCATTACTCTTGTATAAGAGAGGGCCTGGGTATAAATCTATCATAATGGGGCCAGACCATTAGGAATGCACATCACTTGTCATGCAGGGAACATTGTCAAGAATCCTGTATCTGTAGGCTTTTCATAGTTCATACAGATCATTTATTTTAAATTGGATATGAACATGTACTGAATGGCAATAAGCATAATTGTTACATTTACAGAGCTTGTCATTTTGCTCTTTTTAAAACATGTAAGAACAAAAATGTATATTGTATGTTATATACCATGGTACAATAGGATGATAGTCCTAAGACGTGATTTCTAATAGTGGCCCTGCCTCTAAGCATCTTCTATCACTTCTGTCTTCCATAATATAATGTAACAAATGAACAGGAGAATTGGGCACCCTTAATAGTAGAAATGGTAGGTGGGAGAAGCTTGAGGGAAAACTGGTGATGTTCATGTAGCTTCTTCTATAGATTTACTGGAGAAAAAGGCTGTTGTGTAGGAAAATATAAATCAATACTTTGCCATAAATGTTTTATCTGATTTGATCTTTACATTTTTCTGTATGAAGGTTTATAAAAACAGCTTTGCATAAACCAGCATTTATTTATCTTTATTTATTGTGCTTTATCTATTGTGCTTTTTTCTAGTTAAAGATATAATTATGGTGCCAAAGCTAAACTCTTCTCAAGTTAATAAAAACTCACAAAGCATTTTTGTTAGCAAGGGGGACTGGACCTTGTTAGACATTAGTGTAACCAACAATACAATGTGGGATGGAGATGTTGGATACAGTGGAGTGATTTACAAGGTAACCTTTTAAAATATATAATGTAAAGTCAGAGTTTTTTGGCTCTATTAGTTGCCGCTCACAGTTGTGTTACAATTAATTTCAGTTCTGATGTGATGCCTCTCAGGTGGAAAAGCTTGATGCATTAGAACACATAGACATAATCTTTAATGCAGTTGTATCAGATAACCATTGATGGCTTTATATTAATAGTGTTAAGTGAGGCTAGAACAAATGGAATGACACCACAAATAGAATTTAATAAAATCTCTGTCACAACCACGTACCTTAAAAGGAGTCTGAGTTGACGAGGAAGGCCTCTCTTGCAGCTCAAGTCCAAGAACCCCTGGAGGTGGAACAGGTGCACTAGGACAGGAGAGGCACGAGTGGAGGTAGCAGCGAAGTCCAAGACAAGCCGGATCTGTAACAGTCGAGCAGCGAGCTACCAGGACAGTAGACAAGGCATAGTCAGGGACAGGCCGGATCAGCAACTTGCGGACAGCGAGGTACAGAGCAACAGACAGGAGCATGGTCAGAAAACAAGCCGAGATCGAGGGGATCCAGAAGAGCAGCAGAATAGATAGCCAAGCTGGGTCAAACACCAGGAGATCAGAGTCAGGATGTAGGGTTCAGGTTACAGGAACAGGGAACAGCTGAAGACCAGTCAGCACTGGAGGTTGGGATGTCACAGCCTTAAATAGCCCCTTTAACGTGAAAATCCGCAATACGCGCATGCGCACGTCAGTGCACACGCCGTGAGACACGCACGCCAATGTGCACACACCTGCGCAGAGGCGCTCAGCAGTGCACAGTTTTTGTGAGCGGAACTATGCACATGTGCATGCGCAGGTGCCCGTGCAGAATTCCAAGCGTAAGGGCCAAGCCTGGCTTCCTGACAATCTCCTAAACACCCATACTTGTGACTTCTGGGTCACATGAGTTATTACTGAATCTGGAGTGAACCTACTGAACACAGCTCTTGTCAGGAGGCATATTTGCCCACTCACACCTATGTGTTGTGGTAATGTGTTCATCAATAATGAGCATCAACGCACCTGTACTATTGTGATACATTGCTCTGCCATTCATTTTGAATGGCAGCCCAATGCTCTGTATAGTGAAGGCCAACACACTACAGCAGACCACAACACACTTAACATGTGTTTGATCAAAACTAAGGGTACATTAAATGGTCTGTTGAGATCCATGTCCCTGGCTAGCTCATAAGGACTGAGGTCTATAAATGACTGCTGTCCTGCTACTCATATATGGGTGGTTTTACATGTGCCCAGTGGCGTAACAACCGGGGGTGCGGGGGGGTCACTTGCCCCGGGCGCAGGACTGAGGGGGGGCGCCGTCACGACCCCCGCTAAACGAAGCCATGGACTATGGTGCTTTTCTCTTGGAAGACAGTTTGCCTGACTAAGTTCTACACATCGGTCTGCCTAATACATTCACAAGATGCAGCAAAGCTTTTGATTGGTCCTTCTCTATTATCTAAACAGGAAAATTGTGTAGAACAGACTTAATTTATAGACAGTGAAGGAACAGAAGTGTAGTGTTGCTCAGGAAAACAAAAGGCAGTTTTTTTTTTGTAGTAAGTTTAGAAAAATGTTTTCTTCTTACTTTTTTTGTGTCATATTCTATTTTTTAGATGGTTATAAAAAGAGCTCCTATCGTCTATGTCATTAACATCATTGTTCCGGCATGTTTCTTGGTTATCCTGGATATTGTCAGTATGTTCATTGAGATGGGGACTGGAGAGAGACTTGGCTTCAAAATAACAGTGGTTTTGGGGTTCTCTGTCCTCCTGCTCATTCTGAACAACATTCAACCAACTTCAGACAATCCACCAATTCTAGGTATCTATATGTTCTCTGTTCACAACCCAAAGTTATTAATTGCAAATTATTTTATATCAACACATATACCAGCACAAACGATTTTCAACATAAGTCACTTATTTACAGTTTTGCGTTACCTAATTTTTTTAACATTTCGCAAAAAAAAAAACGCAATTTATAATTTACAAATATTTGTTATTTATTAACTCAATACAGTTTTATCTTTTAGATTTAGTAGGAAAAGTATTTTTTTTGTGCATTGATACTGATTTTAGTGTGCTTTTATCAATTGAATTTTGTATTTTTATCAGTTTAATATTGCTTTAATAAACATTTGCGCTCTTATCGCAGTGCTTACACAATTAGCGGCACCATCTTTTTATTAAACCGGGCCTGTGCTTTCAGAAAATATTTGGTTAGTGGGGTCTTTTACAAACGCTAGCAACACAACAATAGAAGATCAAAACAAAGGGAAAAATTGCAAAAATGGTGTGGCTAGATGAGGTCAAAAGTGTTCCGGAGGGCTTGGCAGTGAAAGGGTCCATCCCCAAAAATAGATCATTCGGACATACAGGAGTTTACTAAATGAAACTAAATGGTGCAAAGTAACACTCATTTCACTATTCCGAATGAACATTCATAGCGCTCAGAGTACTGATAGTCCTGCAACTGTCAGAGAGATTTAAATAAAGAGTGTCATATTTTTTTCTAATGATAATTAGTCAGCAGAAATATAAAACGCAAATGTTATTTTCATTAAGTTATATCTTTATAATAACCTCCTGTAATCCCCTCACCACAGCACTGGTAGGAACTGCAAGCCAAATAGATGTTACTGCATTACACAGATCTGTCCATCTTCCTGAGAGGAGGAGAGAGTAGAGTGATGATCTTATTAGTGTGCTGCTACTCCTTCATTGTTTAGATGCCGACTAGTGTGGATCCTAGACCAGTTTGTATTGCGGTGTAGTCTACTGAGAGATCCTGGGAATGCTGACTGTCAGTGGTTTCTGAAGAACCAAAATGTTTTCAAAAGAATTAAAAATCCTTGGCAGGGAAAAAATCCTATTGTATTTGTGTATTTAAATGCTTGCCCAGAGTCCAACTTTAAAGTGGACCTAAACTCAAAAAGTGAAGATTTGCTATTTAATAGAGAACGTCTAGAAATGTTAATTGTGCCTAAGCAGTAAATTAAAAGATTTACCTTTCATTTTGAATTCCCTCTGAAAAATATCAGTGTACATCCTCTGACATATGATTGTGCCGGGTACTCCTGTGCCTACAGCCTCCTGGCTGCACAACTGTAGTGTGAGATCATCTAAAGCACTACTGCCTCTGATCACTTGGCTCATGAGATATGGTGATGTCACTACTGTGCTGCTTGCTGTTCTCCTGAATGCATTCTGTGGATCTGTGCTTCCTGTACCTCTCTTGCTACTTTCTGAATATTACCCCAACAGTTATCAGTTTACCAGTCATCAATGGTGCATCTCTGACATGAGGTAGCAAAGCCCTGCTCCTCTACCAAGATGGCTGCCTCCACACAGAAACTCAGTGCAGAAGAAGACATGGTAGGTTAGTAATGGGGAAAAGACCAGCTGCAGGGAAACCATCAGTAATACTGGTGAGTAACACTTTTCCCTCTAATTGTCTTTGTGGGCACAGCTTCCACAGTTCAAATCCTTTTTTTAATGCAATCCCAAGAGGAGACCCATTGTTCTTCGTAGCAAGTGCAAATATTAGCTTGTGTTGTACAATCGTGGAAATTGACTATAAAGTAGAATTGCATATTTATTTTCCGTTCATTAAAGTACACAGCGAAGAAGATTGAAGATCTGGAACCACAGGGTTATAGTGCTACCTGCAGGAGAAGGATGCTAGGCACAAAACAAAAAAACTGCCTAAAAAACAGCCTAGGGGTAGCCTCTGCTGGTGGCCAACCCCCACCTGCCCACCAGGCCCAGTCCAGGTTCAATCGCACAACACCACGCTGTGGACTACATAAATGATCAAGGTGGAACAAGAAGCATGGCTGTGGCACGTAAAGTGTCGAGATTCATCGCTGGGTGGAGAGGCATGTTCTGGCTCTCTACATGGAGTACATCCCTGGGGTCGATTATTGGCAATCTGATTACCTCAGTCGCCAGTCTCTGGATCCGGGGGAGTGGTTACTGCACTCGGTGATGTTTTGGCAGATCTGCATTTGTTGGGGGACTCTGGATGTAGATCTCCCGGCATCTCGCCTCAACAGGAAGGTTGATCGGTTTGTAGCCAGGATCAAGAACCCTTGGGCAGATGTGACGGATGCTCTAGTGTGGGGGTGCCCACAATTTTTCGTCTGGAGATCTACATTTCAAATGACGAGCTCAATGAGATCTACCAATGAAAAAACACCTGCGTTCAGGGGCATGGCGGTGCATTGAAGTCAATGGCACGGCAGCCACGACCCCCGCCCGCAGATCGATTGCACGCACCCGGAACACAGGCACATTAGTGCCTGCATTCCAATCTAGTGCGATCTGCAAAAATGCTGCAAGCCGGCTTGCGTTTCTGTGCGTTCTAGAGGCTGAACACTCTGGAATGCAGACTTTGTGGTGCGAACTGGCCCTCTCTTCTCTCTCTCCTCGCTCTCTCCCGTTTCTATCTGTTATCTCTATCTGCTGACGTTGCACACAGGGAGAGATGTCCCACCCCTTCCCGTCTGCGGCGTCTGACACATTCCGCCGCACTAGCACCGCGGGAGGGAGCTCAGGTCAGTGAGTGTTTGCTTTGCGATCTACTGGTAGATCTCGATCTACCTAATGGGCAAGCCTGCTCTAGTGTCATCGTGGGACCGTCACGCTCTGATTTATGCCTTCCCATTCGTGCAACTTCTGCCACGTCTTCTTCGCATGTTTTGATAATCTTCTTTGCAGGATACAGGCCGAGGGGATTCCAGTCATTTGTGTGGCTCCAGATTGGCCATGGAAGGCTTGGTACGCAGACGTGGCGTGTCTGGTCGCAGACGCACCTTGGCATCTTCCCTTCAGCCGGATCTTCAATCCCAGGGTCCCATCTTCCATCCTGCTTTACAGTCGCTGGCTTTAATGGCTCGGCTGTTGAGAGACTGGGGTTTGTCGCATAAGTTGATTCCCACTATGCTTAAGGCACCTAAAGCTACTGCTCATAAAATCTATCACCGCACATGGAAGGCCTATTTTGTAATTTCTTTTGTGACTAGAATCTTGTCTTTTCTTCAGGGATTGGCTCTGAGCACTGTTAATGGTAACATTTTGGCTCTAGCCGTTCTTTTTCAATGGCCCTTGTGTCTAATTTCCTGATTCATGCATTTATTCAGGGGGTTACCCATATTGTGCCTCGCGTCTGTTCTCTGTTGCCTTCTTGGGATTTGAATTTGGTACTTTCAGTTTTACAAGAGTCTCCTTTTGAGAATGTGAGGGAGATTCCGTTACTGACTTTGTCTCAGAAAATGGCCTTTTTGGTGGCAATAACCTCCATTCGGAGGGTTTCGGAGCTGGCTGCCTTGTCGCACAAATCCCTATTTTTGGTTCTGCATATGGACAAGGTTGTGCTCCGACTCATTTGATCTCCTTTGCTGTGTCCTTCAATGAACAGAAAATAGGATTTTTGTTTTGTACTTACCATTAAGTCCTTTTTTCTGTGTTTATTGAAGGACACACCACCTGCCCTCTGTGTGGAGTGTTCTCCTTTACTGCTTGTTACTCACTGGGGCTTGCTTAGCAGGTGGAGGCTAGCCACTAGCAGAGGCCGCTCTTAAGCTGTTTTTTTTTTTGCCTAGTATCTATCTCCTGTAGGTGGTGCTATATGCCTGTGGTTCCAGATCTTTGATCTTCTTCGCTGTGTCCTTCAATTAACGCAAAAAATCCTATTTTTACAATTGGACTTATTAGAACCTCTTTATATAATATAAAGTACCGGTATTATGAGTAAGTGAAATTAATAAACCTTATTAATGGTTCAATATAGTGACTATGACAATGACAGCTTACTAGTACTATTACATGGGGTGAAGATGGACACAGCAGACATTGAACGTGACATCTCTAATAACTCTGTCCAAGGAAATATGTCACTCAAATGTCCCTATTAAGAACAAAATATAATATGTTTGTTAAACTCTGAATAACTGATTTTTTTTTTTTGGACAGGTATATTTTGCTGTGTATGCCTCGCCATCATGGTCATAAGTATAATAGGTTGCATTGCCACTTCCTATATGATGACGCTATCTGCAACTAGACCGAATGTCCCACCATGGATAAAGATCTGGGTCATAAAACGTCTAGCCCATGTCCTGTGCTTCAAAACAAAGTCCATAATTCAAGGGATCCCAATCAGTGAAGCTGGAAGGGGTAGGATAAAGTTGTTGGGAAGATGTACTGGTCCTATGACTGTAGACATGCATTGTCTTAGATTGTCAATTTATAAAGCAGTGCAAAGGTACCTTGAAATTTTCACACAGAGTCATGCCTTTCCATGGCTCAGCTGGGCTAGCTGCCAGCACCATGGAAAAGTAAGACCCCAATCTAGAGAGGGTCGGATCCACTGACAAGAGGACAGAAGTACGTCTGCACACTGGCTTGATCCACATCCTACTCGATGCCATGCTGCTGCAGCTGTGGCTCCTAGTATGATGGTAGGACTCTGATGTAAAGGGGCGACTGAGGACTCAGATTTGAAAGGGTCTTGTGATCTGGAGGAGGGCTCCTAATGTGAAGGGGAAACTCTGATTCGAAAGGTGAGCTTTAATTTAAAAGGGAGAGCTCCTGATGTGCAAATGGAGTTTGTGATGTAAAGAGGGCTCCTGATGTGAAGGCAGGACTCTGATGTAAAAGATAGCAACAAAAGGCTCAAGACAAGGAATCTCATTCACAAGACAAGGGGTTCCTTGTCTTGTGCATTTTGTTGCGCTTAGCTTTGAGCAACAAGACACCTAGGTGTGAGGGATTCCACGCATAAACACAAAAGAAGTTGGGTTCCTCCCTTAACACCACTCCCCTTTCACATCAGAATCCTCTCTTTCACATCAGAGCCCCCCTTTACTTTGCATCAGGAGCCTCCCTTCACATTAGAAGCTCCACGTCACATCCAAAGTCCTGATGTGAAGGTGGGGCTCTGATGTGAAAGATGGCAAATCTGATGTGAAGTGGAGCTTCTGATGTGAAAGGAGGCTCCTGATGTAAAGGGGGACTCTTATTTGAAAGGGAGGATTCTAATGTGAAAGGGGGGGGGGGGTCAAGGCAGGAACCAACCTGGGTGTTTTGTTGCTCAAAGCTAAGCGCAGCAAAATGCTCAAGACAAGGAATCCCATTAATTTCTAAGGCCCCTGTTCACACCTGAGTGTTTTGCCACACATTTTGTCACACAAAGTGTCCCATTGAAGTCTAATCTGTCAAAAAATATCTCATATACTTTTTTCAGAGACAGGCATTTTTCTCCTTGTGACAAAACACTCAGGTGTGAACAGGGGCCATAGAAATAATGCCTTGGTTTGAGCATTTTCTCACACTCAAGACAAATGAATGGGATTCATTGTCTTGAGTATTTTGGCATGTTTACCTTTGAGCAGGGGCGTAACTAGAAATCACAGGGCCCCATAGCAAAATTTTGTATGGGGCCCCATGATTGCTAGTCATGCCACTTGCAGAGCCCCAGCGGAGAGTGACCATGCAGAGCCCACCATATACTCTCTATAGTGGGCTCTGCAGGGTCTGAGATCTCTTACCTGTCAGCGCCTCTGTTGTCGCCGGGCCCCGACTCCTGTTCCGTCCCCGGGCCCTGCCTCCTCTTACATCACTGGCCCCACCTGCTCTTAGGTCGCTGGCCAGTGACGTAAGAGGAGGCGTACCCCGCCTCCTCCATTCTGAACACCGCCCTCATCTGCCACAGCGGCTGGCTGTCACTGACACAGCTCCGCAGCGGCTATGAGGGGAAATGCGCCGTGGCCGCTGCTGAGCTGTGTCTGCGACAGCCAGCACCCCCACATGCCATAGCGACCCAGGCGGCCTGGCCGGGCCACCCTGTTCCGGGCCCCATAGCGGCCGCCTGGGTCGCTATGGCGATTGTTACGCCATAAAACACCTAGGTGTGAACTAAAGGGGACCAGGGACTAAAACCCATACCAGATCCCTGTCTCAGACAAGGATCTGGTATAGATTTTGGAGGGGTCACATGTTGTTTTTTGCATTTTACTTTTACATTTTAGACTAGGGTGCCTCTAGATTTTATATAAATTTGTCAATTACAAATGCAATCAAAATTATTCAGCCCCCATTGCACATCAGATTTATAGGCAAAATTTTCCTGACCTTCAGCTGCTTGCAATGAACAAATCAAACAAAACAATCAAAATAGCTCAACACAACAAATGTTTTAAGTGGTTCCACAAATTCAACTGGAAATGCAAATTTGAAATACTTCTGCACTCTCATAATTATTCAACCCCCTGAATACTGTATAGTCCCTCACAAGAGCATAACACTCTTGTGAGGGACTATACAAAAATAACACTCTGCCTACAGTTAAGCATGGTGGTGGCTCAGTGATTCTCTGGAGCTGCTTTGCATTATCCTGTGGCACTGAAAACCTGTATAGCGTGCAAGGCAAGATGGATTCATTGAAGTATCAGGAAATCCCAGGAGAAAATGTAATGCTGTTTGTGAGGAAGCCGAAGCTCGGGCGTCATTGGACCTTCCAACAGGAGAATGATCCCAAGCATACCTAAAAATTCCTAAAGGATTGGTTGCAGAAGAAGTCCTGGAACATTCTTCAGCGGGCATCACAGTCACTTGACTTGAGCCCCATAGAAAATCTCTGGTGAGATTTGAAGAAGGCAGTTGCAGCATACAAACCCAAGAATATTAGTGAACTGGAGGCCATTGCTCACTAGGAATGGGCTAAGATTCCTCAGGAACGCTGCCAGAAACTAGTATCTTGCTATGCATCTCATTTGCAGCAAATCATAAGAGCAAAAGGGTGCTGTACCAAGTACTAAAAATGCTTGCCATGAAGGGGTTGAATCATTTTGAGACTGCAGAAGTCATTATAGGTTGCGTTTTCAGTTGAACTCGGGGAAACCACTTGAATCATTCATTCGTTTACCTATTTCAATGGCTTTGTTCAATGGAAACACCTGGAAGACTGTAAATGTTGCCAATAAACCTTATTTGCAATGGGGGTTGAATAATTTTGATTGGGACTTTATAGATGCTACTTTTAAGACAACCAAATTTTACAAAAAACATTTAAAAATATTAATAACTTTTATTGCATTAAATACATCCATAAAAGATATAAATTGTCAATGTCCGACTTGAAATACAAGTCATTGCATCCAAACCGCATCAATGGAGGACAAATGTATGATTTTTTGTTTTTCCCATATCCATATGCTGATTGAGGAGAAGTCAACCATGGATATTGATTTGCCAGCGGTTTAGCCATTAATGGCTGTGTGTTGAGTTATTTTGAGGGGACAGCAAATGTACACTGATATACAAGCTGTACACTCACTACTTTACATTGTAGCAAAGTGTAATTTCTTCTGTGTCGTCACATGAAATGATATAATGAAATATTTCCAAAAATGTGAGGGGTGTACTCACTTCTGTGAGATACTGTATGTATATATATATATAAAATCTAAAATATCTCGGACATTAATGATTTATACAACATAAAATAATCTCTACCCCAGAGGCTGAGGAGGAGCAGGGAGATGAACAAGGGTGAAGGGAAATATGTCAATTTAAAGAGTGTGTTAGTCTCTATGTTAGTTGAGTAAAATAATTGATTTAGCCTCACTGATACAATGTAATGTATTATTTTATGTTGTGTCGGCCATTGACAATTTATGTATTTTATGGATGTATTTACAGTAATAAAAGTTATTATTTTTAAACTTTTGAGAAATTTGGTTGTCTTAAAAAGTAGCATCTATAAACTCCCAAACAATATAATTGGCAAATGTATATAAGATTCATGGGGGACGTGGTGCATAGATATTAAGTAGGGATGCACCGATACCGATACTAGTATCGGTATCGGTGCCGATACCGAGTATTTGGGTGAGTACTCGCCCAAATGCTCCGATACCTAGCACGAATACTTCCTGTATCAGGAAGCCTGTATCAGGAAGCATCATTACACGCTGCCCGGTTTCCTGATTGGCCAGGAAACAGCTCCATGCTCTCTCGTCACTTGTGATGGGAGAGCATGGAGCCGACTTCACGGCCAATCAGGAAGCCGGGTAGCGTGCAATGACGCGCTGCCCAGCTTCCCGATTGGTCAGGAAGCTAGCAAATCCAGAAGCCGGGCGCCGTGTAATGACGCAGTGCCCGGCATTCTGATTGGCCGGGAAGCCGGCGTCATGCTACCTCGTCATCTCATGAATCATAATATTAAGAAAGTGACCTTAAAGCATTAGTTTATATTGCTTTAGAAAAAATGTGACCTGCCCCTTTAAGAAAAAGTATCGGTAATTGGTATCTGCGAGAACTTGATCAAAAGTATCGGTACTCGTACTTGGTCTTAAAAAAGTGGTATCGGTGCACCCCTAATATTAAGGGTTGATAGTAAGTGTAACTTCTAACTAAAATGCCTCGAGATTTTGCATACGAGACTGAGAAACACTACTTTAGAGAGAATGAAAGTGAGTCAAAAAATGTTGACCTAATCTAAGTTTGTCTTTTATGCTCACAGACACAACTAGTAAATACATGAAATCTCACATTATTTTCGTTCTATAAATTTCTTTAGAACATTAGCACTGGTTGCACCAAGGGCTTACATGCGATGGATTGAGTTCACATTTTAGGATAATAGTTGAAAAACACCACATCCTTAATAACCAAAATGGTAGGCAGTGTAAATTTATATTTCCATCTGTTTCTAATACGCATTTTGTTCTTAGATGATGGTGATGGCAAGACAGTAGACAAAAACTCAGCTGCTCGGGAAAAGAAAAAGATTAAAGGAACAACTGAAGTGAAACTCTTAAAAAAACTGCTTGCTGAAATTCTGCAAATGCATAAGGAACTCATCCAATCTAAAGATAAAGACGAAGCCAAATCAGAGTGGTATATCGCAGCCACAGTGGTGGACAGGCTCGTCCTCATTCTTTATCTCATTATTGTCACAGTTATGTTTGCAGTTGTTATCAGCGTCTGGGTAATATAAAACATAAATATGAAATTAATGGTAAAAGCCGCGCTGTGTGAATGA